TCTTAAGCCTCATTCATAGATGATGCAGTAAACTGCGGCAGTTAAAAAAAATATATAGCTCAGTGAATAGTGCATAGTAAAGGACTATTGTTCTGTGCGATTACCATTCATTTACGTGTAGTTTAAAAACGGCTGCTGTTAATACAGCTTCAAATCTGACCACGTCTTTAATTTTAATAGAAACATAATTATCAAACACATTTTTAAGATTTTTGGAAAGGAAGACAGTATTTCAGGGAGCGGTACAGTAGTGAGCCTTCCACAGTGGGTCTCTTGATAAGATGTCTTGTCTAGTAGTTGAATTCTCGGAACAGCCGCTGCTTCGTATCTTCCATCTAGCAATCCCCATACTCGTGCTGAAATTGTGAACCAATCGTGGCAGTACGAGGGATTTGGAGAGATGGCGCGGGTTCGATGGCCAATGGAAGAGGGGCTGTGGCACGGTAGTCCTCTATCTCGTGAATGAAATAAAGACCTTCGAGCCCCTCTTCCATCTCGGTGATGATCGGGCCAGGTCGATCCATGATTGGAGGTCGACGATAATTGTAGTCGTCCTAGATGGAAATCAATGTGTTTTTGTTATCATTTACATGTTACTGTATTTTACAAAAGTTTAGACAAAGGTAGATATACATGTAGTTCCATATTGCTCCGGTTGTCTCATTTTCGGTCGCTGGAAAATTGCCAGCACAAACCACTGACCTCTACCTCCTGGACGAATCATCGCCCATTCCCGCTCGTGATAACGCTTGAAGTGGGCTCGCACAAATCAGAACTGATCTATGATGATTCATCCTTCTTATTTGTCGTGTGCTTGACTTATAACCTTACAATCGTGTGGTCAATTGAGTCCAAAGTTCGACCTTTTGTACATGTGTTATATAGGCAATGGCGCGTTTGCGACCTATTTTGATGAAATTACGGTGGGTGAACTTTCAAAACTCAATAAGACACGAGGGTTCCAATGAAAGAGCTAGTGTTAACGTACGTCGGGGAGGATGTGCTTTTTTTTTAAACAAAAAATGAATTTTTAACGATTTTCTTTGTAAAAGTCCATAGGCGAACATGTTAGGCTGCTGACTCTGACGATACGGGGCGTTGTCAAATGGGACTAAACGGAGCTATATGTGCAATAAGGAAGACAGGGGGAGAGGAAGGAGAATGGCCTGAAAGTTAGGGAAGGGGCTACGGTAACATGAATTATTCCCCACATAATTTACACAAGGAACACACAGTGTAACTAACATGTCTTGAAGTAAGCTGGTCGTATTTTTTTATTGGAAAAGTAAAGAAAAAAAGACTGAGGATCTGTGAATGACCAATCTTGTTTGCTTCACAGTTAATAGTTTTTATTAAAGAGTAACAAAATACAGGGTCTTTCTTTCCTTTTTCTATTATTATTATTATTATTATTAATATTATTATTATTATTATCATTACTATTTTTATCATCATTATTACTACCAAATTTATTTTGTTATTAGCATATTATTATCATTATTGTTATTGTTATTAGTAGCAGTAATGTGAGTATTATTGCTGTTATCATTAAGTCATTGGTATTATTCATAATAATTTATCATTATTATCATTAATACAATCACTATAAGTATCGTTACTATTATTATAATTATTATTAACATTCTAATTGTTATTGATTATTATTGTCATCATTATAATCACCAATATCAATATTGTAATTCTTACGTTATGATTGTAATTATTATCGTTATTTTCATCAACATTATCAATATCAAATATTGTTATTATTACTGCTACTACTACCACTACTACTATTTCTACTACTACTTCTACAACTAATGTAACTAACATGTTAATATTACCATTACTATTTTCATTATTATTACCTTTACCATTTCCATTACTGTTGCTACTACTACTACTAACTACTATACTACTACTACTCGATACTTACTCTTGGCATGAGCATGAGCGGAGCTGGTTTCCAATCATACTCAGGATCGTTGTAGCTTCTTGATCCAGAAAAGAAGAGGAAACAACAACACCAGATGAAGAAAAGGAGAAGGAGGAAAGTGGCCACGCCCAATACGATTCCTATGATTGCTTCTGTGCTCAGAGTGACTTCAAATGGGATGAAAAGATGACATAAATTAATCAACTTCATGGTCTAATAAGAGATTCAAAATGTTTGTAACCATTAAAATGTGAAATTACTTGTATTGTGATGATTTTGCTATTAGAATTCCCCTTATAAGATATCAAATGAGGCAAGCTTGAAAATATATTCAAAAACCTTCATATAAGGCTTGTACCATATTCCCTTTTATTAAGCCGTAAGTCATGCATAATACTGTACAGCTATTTACACGGGGAGGGGAGGGGGTATTTTTGCGAATTTCGCAAATGTAACAACACAACAAAATATTTCCAGTAAATTATATGTCGCAGGTTAAAATACATTGTAGTAACTCCTGTTGCATGTCACACATGAAATCTATACACTTACCAATGAGCCATCACCGGTCATGTGGCGTAGTTTGAGACCACAATGATCGTCATGGGGCACTTCAACAGATTATGTTTGATTCATTTCTCCCAAAATTATTCTGATATTATGATGATTATAATGCTCAGTAACGATCCACGAAAATAGATTGATAATATTGAAAAGCATATAATTTGTTGTGGTTGTAGTTTGTGGCTTTACATAAATCTAATAACTCACAAATCTGTCCTTGAACCCTTAATCTGCAAATATCTTTACGCAAAATATTGGCTTACCGGTATACAGTATTACATGATTATTCAGGAAAGTTATAGGTAAGTCTAAAGAGTTTATTTTGTAATGAGAACTTACTGCCTGTATTTTCACAATTATCTCCTGATCTACCAGAAGGACAGCTGCATCAAAATGAAACACAGAATTAAACAATATGTATACAGTGCGTCCCAAAAAAAACTATACACTTTTGATATGGCCGCCGAATAAAAAAATATATGATTCTGGGGGACAATTTTTATATGTATGGAAAGCTCATAAACTCAGCTTTCATATGACACCAAAAAGTTTGAAAATAATTCATGCTTGGGTGAGCACTGCTCACTTTTGTAAAGGGTATGAAAATTAGATTGCGCAGGAATTAGCCTTCCAATTTGTGAGAGGTAAATCCTTTGGTGCTTACAAAATCGAGGGTGATATGATACATTCATGATTTGCTGAGTGAATTACATGGTTTATAAAACCAAAATTTTATGCATGAGTGAACAGGAATTTTATTTTTTATTGTAGGATTCTAACTTTCCCTGTTAGACTCAGTGGTGTGTTTATGGGAGTCAGGATGGGGTGATGGTACATGTTGTAATTTCCATCTTACAAACTGTTATTTTTTACATCTTTGACTTTGAATAAAAAGATTCACCCCACATTTCAGTTATTGTAAGATTAGTTGAACATCTCATTGATTCACTTAATAACCAGTTGGGGATTATGTAAAATTATTGTAAATTGATTATTCAAATACGGTTTGTTGAAAAGAGGAATATCACAGATGTTGGCTACTTATTCTTAAGGTTACCCATTTACCATTACAGAAACTCAAGTGCTAAAATGACTGGTTGGTTGGTTGATAGATTGAGTGATTGACTGAGTTATTGATTAATTATGATTGAATGATTAAATTGATTGAAATACTGAATGGTGATTGAATGCTTGATTGATTAATTGATTGACTGATTGACTGATACCGTTCATTGTTCATTAAGTGATTGATAGCTGAATGTAATGGATTGTCAAGATATGCACAAGCACACCCAGGCAGAGAGAGAGAGAGAGAGAGAGAGGGGGGGGCATACATGTCCTCTTGACCCTAATCCCATCTACCAAACAAAGTCCTACCCTACATTTCACCTCCCCTGCACCATGTACCATCACCCCGTCCTGACTCCCATGAAAACTCCACTGAGTCTACCATGGAAAGTTACATTGCTATACGTTAATAACAAATGCAATTCCTGTTCACTCATGCATAAAATGTTAATCCCATAAACTACAAATTTCACTTAGCAAACCCAAACTCATCACAATTGATCATAAATTGGTCATATCATTCTCAATTCCGTAAGCTCCAAAGGATTTACCTCTCACAAATTGGAAGGCTAATTCCTGCGCAACCTAATTTTCATACCCTTTACAAAAGTGAGCAGTGCTCACCCAAGCATGAATTATTTTCAAACATTTTGGTGTCATATGAAAGCTGAGTTTATAGGCTTGCTATACATATAAAAATAGTCCCCCAGAATTATATATTTTTTTATTCGGCAGCCATTTCAAAAGTGTATAGTTTTTTTCGGGACGCACTGTATATATATTATTATCCCATGATGAACAATTACTCAAAAAAAGAAAGCAAACAAATAAAATAAAAGAATACATTGACATAAAACAAACAAATCAGGCACAACAAAATGAGCAAAATTGCAGTTAGTTTTATACTATGGATCTATATAGCCACATATGAATCAGTATGTAAAAGGGCAGTTGTTGCTCGCAGCTACATTTTCTACACCGTCCCCAATTCATTTCGTCTTGGCATTCACTTAAAGCAAAGTTCTGTCACATTTTTTTCATTTCTTAGGAATGCTTACCAGATGTACAAAAATGGTTGTATTCTTGGAAGGCAAAAAGTAATTTAAATAACATTGCATAGATTTTTAAATTTCTTTGCTATTGTTGACGGAATAGATTTGTTTCCATACAGGGGATTAATGAAAACATATATTTGCAATGATTATATTTAGGGTGCATGTATTTCTGAAAATTTCCTGAGGGAAAAAAATAATTTGAATTATTTTGTTAGTACATAGCGAATGGGAAGGAAGCTTGTAAGATACGTCACAGTGTTGTCAATTTTCGATTGATTGATTGCAACAATTCAAAAATTCAAACTTTCTTCTTTTTTTTTTGAAATTTTCTTAAACTGTCCTCTCATTTTTTGATTCTATTAAAATGTCTTGGTGGATTTCCCCCTTATAGGCACACAAAACTGTTGTTGGTTTAACAATCATACCTGCATACGTGGTCAAATACATCATTATAATAATTGACAGTACATGTTCCTCCATTTGATAAACATTCGAATGAAGAAGGGCAAACCTCTGAGGGAAAAAAAAGAAGAGAAAGAGATTGATTACAGTGTCCAACAAGAGAAATTAGACAGTTAATGAGCGATTGATTACGAAATATGGATAACTGTAGAGAAGTGGAGAGAGAGATACACTAATACAATATACCAGGTTATAGAGAAGAAAGGATATCACACATTTTACTTCTTTTTTTTGGGGGGGGGGGAGTAATGTGAAAAACCCTGTAAATCTTTAAATACACAAAATTATAGTACATGTACAAGAAACAAAAAGCAAAGATATCTTGCTCTCGATGCTATATATTTAAATCGACCAGGCTATAAAGAAAACGAGAATTCCCTCGTGGGCTTTTCAGTATATATAATATTAAATGGACAAGGTAGTCAGTTTCCAAGTGCAGTAGGTCATAATTCACTGACGCCAGACTCAGTGGAAACACTGGGTGTACATGTCTCGCGAACAGCAAACTTGTGGTCCCATCAAGAAATACCCCTCATAACGTGTCCACACACTAATTTTTTAACCTTAAACTCTATAAAGAATTGTCGTATAAAGGATCATCGTATAAACTCCAGGGCGTCCATACACATAAGAAAGTAATCCCGAAACTCTACAGCAAAACGTCATATAGGTGTGCAGTTTGCTACTGCGGTCGTGAAACGGAAGCGGAACCGAGAGGTCAGGTCTCCTTTCGCGCGCGGTCACGTTAAGCCCCGTCCAGTTATACCGTTTTAGTCTGACCAGTTATACTAGTTACATCCACACACAACACATTCCATGATTCTTTATCGAGTTCTAGTTCGAAACGATGCACAGACCCGCGTTTTGTTATACGACGTTTCGTTATACCGTATCGTTAGTAAGCGTACACATACACAATTGCATCGTATAACTATCCCAAAACGTACGCTTTCGGGATAGTTATACGATGAATTTGTTGTGTGTGGACACGGGGTTAGTCTCTCTGAGAGCCTTCGGGTGAGGGAAATGTAAAATGATTACTTTTGACCATGGGGCTATTGGTGGAAAATGCAGAACATCATGTAACGTCTGGTGGTCATACAAATTAATGCCACTCCCGGTGATTGACAACACCTGTTATTGGGTAAACACCCGAACGGTGTTAAATTCCCAATGAGAGCTTGCACTATTATGCCTCTTTAAAGTGACCCGGTAACATTGTTGAAGGTCGATTACAAAACTGCGTATTTTTTGTATGAAATGTCACTTATTATATTCCTTTTACTGTACTAACCCTCTAACAGGAAAAAAGTCCTGAAAAAATTCTCAAACCACAAGGATATTAATGGTTTTCTAAGAAGGTGTCACTGTGCAACACCCTCTTACAGTGATTAACAGTAAATTCTGCCAACCATTTTTGAATTTTCCCAACTGTTTTTCAAATAAAAAAGAAGACAAAAAATAGGCTTTTAAAAAATCTGTCAACATTTAAATGTTTGGGATGGTATATAGAGCCAATTCATTGCTTTGTGACGATTTACATTCACCTAAAATGTAATCAAATTGTAATAATATAGTTGGGAGAATTAAGGTATCGATCAGATCAGTTTTCAGTACCAACTTTTATTGTTAATAATTATCTGTTTTCACTCAAACTTTCAGATTATCTTTAATTGTATATCTAGCATTGATAGCACTGCCTTAGCACCAATTTCTCTCATGTTTACAATGTTACCAAGTCCCTTTACATAACATTTAGAGAAGCACTTTTCATGCATACCCATCATTGTAGAGTCAACCTGCTACAGCGACTCCCTGGACTCTATTTAATAAAATCTGTCATTAATAAGGCGTCATAATAACTGTTATAAGCTACTGAAACCTCTGCACTTGATTGGGTGAGAGCAAAGTTGTCATAGACTTATAAAACATGATATTGATGGGAAGTGTTATGAAACAAGGCCCTTGTATACAGAATTAACCTTTATGAGACCATGGACAAGAGTTCTACTATATAGTTATAAAGATTGCCCAAACAGTACATGTTCCCACAACATTCCCTCAAAGATTGATTTCGTTTATGATACACTGTAGGGATAGGATCAATCTTCACATAGGGTTTTTACATGTAGCATAGGGGTTGGTGTTGGGATCAGTCTTCAAGTAGGTTTTTACATGTATGATATAGGTTAGGATTATTTATATTATTTAGAGCCAGTTTGAAGTTTGAAGAAGTGGTTAGAGATAGAAATCAACCACAGAGTAATCGTCACTGCATGGAGCAGATGTTGTACAAAAGATCCCCTTTTTATTTGGTTTTACCACAAACGTACTTGCTCCTACGACAAACTTGCTCTTGCGACAATTGCTCCAGCATAATTTCCTATACACCAACCGATGTTCTAACTTCAACCCTTGACCCAATGTAATCCTAACCCTTACCCTAAACCTAACCTAATACCACATTGCAACATAAACCTTAACCGCATACTGCTGACATAAAAAAGCCAAGCTAGAGTAATTGTCGGCAAAGCAAATCTTGGAGCACTTAATTTATGTTTCACTCGAGTCGTCTTCATACACATGTTTCACTGTATAAGGAACATCAACCAATATCATCTTACCTGTGATTGGAAGTACATTGGGTGGTGAAACGGTTTCAAGAAAAAGCTCTGATGACACTCCACCCGGCATCCACTCCAGGGAAGACCCATCAATGGCATTGGCAAAGAAAGTATCAGCATGTTGGGTGGTTGCCGTTGAACCATCACTAAGTGTTACTGTGAATGGTACAACGACGCTGCCGGATCTAAACCGAAGTGACTTTACCATCCTGAAGTTCCCCAAGCCCCTAAAGGTTGACCACAGCTATGAAAAGAATCGTGAACACACAGACATGATTACAAAACAAATTCATGAAAGGACCACAATCTACTATTTCATTTAAACCTGACCCTCGGTCAAAAATCGTGTTTTACAAGAGGAAAACTTAGAACTCACACCAACTTCCTTTGTTAAACACGATCTTGAACAAAAGCCTAAACCAAGCGTCGGTTTTGGATTGTGAAAGAAAACGGGAATAAGTCTATAATTTATTGGACCCCTCCGAATCAAATACCATCTTCCTGCCCATGCATAGTCCTATATTATAAGACCGGGGCATTTAAGATGATATGTTAAAAGCAACACAACAATGTCCACATCAGCCTAATCCTTCAGTGTGATTACAACGTTGGAGTAAAGTTAAGAAATTAAATAAGTAAATCTAAATTATTTAACTATTTCTTTACTACAAACAAAACTTATGATTTGATTTCAAATATAAATAAAAATATAATTAGATAGATAATAATGGTACAAATAACGTACACAAAGTCATAGAAACTGTAGAATCTGAATCATAAATATTTGATTAACAATATGCTATAATCAAATTATTACATATTATAAAATAAATTAATTTAAGATCAAGTGTACAACGTTTCATAATTATTGTAGTCAACCTCAGAGTGATTAGGATAGATATGTATATAAATAATGGTTTAAGAATAATAACAAGTTTTTAAATATGTTTTAAAATGTTTTCAACAGAAAAGATATATGCTTTTTACTATTATCCTATCAAAAAATATATTGTTTCTATTCAACTCTCCAATATGTGTACACGTACGGTGGTTTAACACCTGGTGCTGTTTACTTTTTTATTATTTTATTTGTTACTTTTCTTCTGGTAGAGTCAGACCTTATTTTATATCTAGCTGATTTGTTGTGTCATGCAACGTTGCCTTTCTCTCATGTAAGTGTATATTTCCACACTATTATATTGCGTGCTGCACAGGTTTCATTAGAAATGTTTACATATTTTTGTCCCCACCAGATTTAATAGTGATACATAACTTCTTCTGAGCAGCAGCAAACCAATATGATTGGCCTTTTTGGGACTCTCCTTACAAGCACTGCAGGTGTACCCAGCTTTCCACACAACCTTGTTGACACCTGAATGGCTGTTATTGGCAATTGTACAGTATATATTTAAAGAAGTTAAACCTTATTGAAGGTAGAACTTACGTTTTCATGAATTCTTGCTTCCAAAGCAAGATATTGAGTACTTGTTGGATCTCCGCAACAGGTAACAAAGTCCACCTCAGTTGTTGGTGAAGATACAATTCGCCTCAGGGTAATCTGGCCGCGGAATTCCCTTACACCTAAAACAATTCACAGAGTTAAATCATGAAGTAAAATGGAATGACGTCACTCAACAAGCCTATAAGGCATGTTCACATTCAGGGTGCTGCAGTGAATTTTTTTTTTAAGAGCTTATACATATAGTGCTTATAACTTTAAAATAATTCATGATTAGCTCATATTTCGTCGGATTTCATTCAAACTTTCACCAGTCTACTTCTCTGATTTTGGGATACTCTCTGAGACGTTTGCAATCAAGGTTGTAATTTCCCTTTAACAGTCCCACGATTACTGCATGGTTTATGGAAATCTACTCTAATTCGAGAAATCGAAGTAGATCATCAACGCAACTTAGAAAGGGGATATCAGTCAAACACTGGCAATTGTCATTTTTATCCAGACTCGATTATAAAATGTTGATGTAATGAACCTCAATTCATCTATGAAAATTATAAAAACTATTTTTTTTACATAGATCACAATCTTTGGAAAGGTCACTGGCAGATTCAAGGGGGCAGGGGCTAAGACTGCCTCTACCCCCTAAAACCCTGTGGAATACCTTAAGTAAACAAGTCGAAAATGTGTGTCCCCTCTTCCCGTTTTTGAGGTGAAGACCACACTTTTTTGTGTGCTTGTCAGCACAATTCAGGAATACTGTGCCCCCTCTTTTGCAAAAAAAATCCTGGATCCACCCCTGTGCACAGCCTTCCACTTGTCCTAAGGAAAGCGTAATCAATTTTTAAGTATTTTTAAAAATTTAAACCCACAGATTTAAAAAGCAATTACCCTTCTAATAAGACAGTTGAGCGTCAGTCGAATCCCCACAATGCATAAGTAGTTAGAGGAGCATTTGATGTGTGCTAGAGGGCGTTTGGATATCACATAATTTGACTATCGAATTAACATGTGGCAAAAGAACCTAAAAACGCCCTCATCCCCAATTACTTAAACTTAGGGATTCCTGCAGTTAAACAAACGACCACATTAAAAGAAAATACCTTCTACCTTATGATACTCGCTTGGTTTATTGGTTTGATAGTTTTTTTTATTTTAATGTCATTCCATAGTACAGTAAGCATTTACCATTGCATTAGAAAAGACCCCATAATACCTGTAACTAAACTTCATGCGACAGGCCACTCATCTTGAAGGCTTAACCAAGTATTGAGTAATTAAGGATAGATGATACATTATCAGGTATACGAGGTGGAGGGGTGGGGATGTGTTTGGGTGGTATACAGCTCTCCTTTCTCTGCTTATTTTGTAATTGTCTACAATCAGACAACCAGCTTCTTATATTTGGGTAGCAAAGCAACCTCTGCAAATATTTTTGTATTTTCCTTTAAATACTTTAATGATAAATAACATGAAAAAGCTATAATAGTAAATGTACCTACATAAATGTAAATACATAAATAAAATTACCTAAATTGAATGACTCAGGTACAATCGTATTGGTGGTGGCAAAATTAAGATTGTCAGTAAGAGCCGAGTAAAATGCTTGCTTAATTTCTTCTTCATTGTAGTACGACGGATTACTAAAATGAAGACGGAACTGGATCTTGAAGTTACTGGACGCATCAAAAATTGATGCAGGCATTTCTATTCCCACAAAATTTGGAGCTAAGCTAGAGGAGATTCTAAAGAGATCGTCGAGCTGTAGGGAAAGAGATTGAAGAAATGGTTGTAGACGTTTAGATCAACAAATATGAACTACTCGTACTTCTGAAAGGTCAGTGATTACTCTCTTCTTCCGAATATTTCTTTCTCAGTATTTCCTTCTGTCCTTTCAATAATGTGTCTTTATCTTTTCCCATTTCTCTATCACAACATGTCACAGAGCTTTTTCAAATCTATACTACTACTTGTGCTTTTGATAACTATCTGTCACTCTATAAAACTTTCGTCCTCTTAGAAATATTGCATTCAAATCTACCCCTCTCATCTCGATGATTATTTGATCATGCTACATAGTGTGTTTCATTCTATTTTCTCTATCCATTCTCACATGTTTTAAATGATTGTTTAATTCAAACTAATTCTTCTGATAATTATCTGTCACTCTTAAATTTTCATCCTTTTAAATTTTTTATTCCATTCATGAATAATGGTTAAACAAATGTTGAATTGTTTCCTCTATATTCCTCTCTCCTATGTAACGACTACCTTACCATGCCCTCCCAGTCATTACCCTCTAATTCCTATCACATCTTACGATCATGATATAAATATAACGACATAAATTTTCAGCTTACGTCGTCCCGCAGGCTTTGTAGACGAGCTATCGTAGGGGTGAATTGGCCATCGATTCCATGCACGATGTCAAGCAGGAGTTCACCATCCAGTTCAATGGTATCTGTAAAACAGAAATAAAGAGATTTATACATCTGTTTACAGAATTTCCAATATCGAAAGAAGAATAAACTTGACAACACTGTGTGTGATTGTGTTAAGCCATTGTCATTGAGCTGCCTTATCTTCTGTTTGACTAGTAAATTCATAATCACAATGAAAACGTCAGATCAATAAATGTGGCTCAGTTAAAGGTTAACCCTGAAAAATGATGGGGGCTCAAGCATATCTCCTACCTGAAAAGTTATGCGATTACTAGTACTTATATACACGCGTAAAATTCTATTCCACTTTCATGATATTTTGTCCTAAATCTGAGCACGGGGGGAAGCATCAAGCCCCTTGTCTTTTGAAAATGTACTTTCATTATCATACTTTTATCGTCTTATCATACTAACATTATTATAATTAATGTTATTATCATATTGACCCTAATTATTTTAATGATGGCAGTAGGACGAAGAACACAGACAAAAGATAAAGAAAGTGAGTACCTGTCTGAACTATGACATTGACAGTGAATGAGCAGGTGGAGGCAGTGTTTCCTTGGGCATCCATTGCCATGTATTCAATGAGATGTTCGCCAGGAGCCAATTGTGATCCTGGTGGACTACTGCCGGGTGATGGCATTGCTGTGACGGTACCCTGTATGGAGTTGTCCATGAACGTTGGTTCCGTCCACGAGACTCTGACCGAAGGCTGTGAGCCGAGAATGAATACACTGAACGAATCGGGGCAGGCAACAAATCCTGGGGCCTCAGTATCTGAAAGAGAGAAAAAAATAGAGAGAGAGAGAGAGAGATAGAGAAAGAGAGAGAGATCGAGATCGAGAGAAAGAGCGCGCGCGAGAGAGAGAGAGAGAGAGAGAGGGAGGGGGTGTCACCACACAGTGCAACCTGCTTTATCATAGATCTACCAATACATACAGCTCATCTATCAAAAAAATAAGGACATTTTTGTCGACTTCTTTGAACAGTGTTCGACAACCCATACTTAAAGACCGTCTGCTGTACGTAAAGCCCAATGTTCGTATTTCCAAGAGAGGGGGCTTTTGTACATGTTTCACCATCAATCATTTGGGCAATATACATCTTTAGATATTGGGCATGCTTCAAGAGGCCAAATACATACTATATCAGACATCCTTTTGTAAATCTGAGCAAGGTGCTTGAAAACTGCAAAGTTTATTCAGCATCGTTACACGAACGACCGACCAGCCAGCAACAATCGTTATCCAAACAATTGCTCATGTTTTTCAGGTCATTGATTGATTGTTAAATTCTATTTCATCGGAATAAAGTGTAGAAAGGAGAACCTGTGTATATACTTCAGGTAGAAATAGACAGGCAGTCATTTTTCATTGGAACACATTAAATTATTGGGCAGGATTCTTCATCCATGACAAGGAAGCTGGGGCTATAACTTTCCCCTTGAACCCAGAGCAGTTTAGTGTAACCTTTCAGTGGCATTTTGATTTTGTCATTTGATCCTGAATGTTCTGAATTACAACTTGTACATGTGCAAAATGTGTAAAAATCACGAGAAAACTTTTCGGTTGCATTATATTGTATCATTTTTAACAAGGGTGATTTAATCGAAAAATAATCATTGAAGCCTCTAAATTGGCACCGTACAGAGAAATTTGAAATCACTAATTTTCGTGTAAAAATTTGTAATTTCTTTTTGATTTGTAGTCATTTTCCTTCCCACGGTTTCATTTATTATACATTTAAAAACAAAAAATAAAAGAATTAAAACAACACAAAGATTGCTGCCACTTTCACTAGGAGGAAAAGCTGATTATTTAGAGCTGCAGAAAACTCTCTGACCCGCTATGGCTGAACTACTCACCAATCACTAAGACGTTGAATCTGCAGAATGCTACATTGCCATGGATATCTCGAGCTTGGTACACCAAGTCGTATGATCCGATGTCAAGACGCTGATTCCTAGCATAGTTGGATGTAATGGTGGGGGTCCCAGAGTTGTCTGTAGCAGTGATATCACCCCAGTCGACTACGGCTGAGTTGGTGTTCGCGTCCGAGTTAAATCTCACTTGACTCGTCGGACAGTTGGTGAATTCAGGCACATCATCGTCGACTAGAATAATGGAAAATATTGAATGGAAAGATCAATGTCCTAAATTGAAAGGAATATCCAAAATAGCATCCATATACGATTGAATCACAAAAATCTGTTGACATGAATTTCCAACTCTATGACATAGACAATGCGGCCTAATGGAATGTACAAAATATTGTTTGTTTACAATATGTTATTTGTGTATTATTTATTGTAGTCTGTCTTCTTCTGCTCATTTCAGAAATCAAGAGCAGGCTTTGGGCATGGCCATGCACACAATTTTATTAAATTTACTGTAATCTGGGGATCTTTGCCTATTTTAATTATATCGTGCACATCGACTGTTTTTTTTTAATGAATGTTTAATAGATTGAAATTGAACAAAATATAAGTATATACCAATCACAGTGACGTAGAACTCGCATGTTCCAGTATTACCGGAGTCATCAGTAGCTGTATAGACCATATGCCAAGTACCTCCCGAGAAGAGCTGAGAGGCAGGAGGGTTGTTAGTCCCGATGGGATCCTTGCCTGAGTTATCACTAACAGAAGGTAGTCCCCAACGTACAACTTTGGATTTAGTTCCTAATTCGGCCATTTCAGTAACATTCGCGGGACACGCTGACCACACTGGTTTCTCCGTGTCTGTGTAAAACAAGGTTGTATCAAATTGGGCCAAATTCGTTTAGCTAACTAAACAGAGCTTAATTAGCACTTGATAGAAAAGCTAAGAAAATGTTTTCAAGTGACAACCAATTGCTTTCTTGTGTATGAAGACTATGCTTTTATCATCAAACATAAGTCTACTTCATTTCATGCAAGCTCCCCTCGTGCACATGTAGCTAGGCTTTTCCTTCACTTCTAATCACCAAATGCCTCAAGCCTTATAGGCTAATACATGTCACACCTCCTTGTGTTTCTCAATGCAGTATTACCGTAAATGTATTATGATTGCAATTGCCTATTTAAGTCTACTGCTATTAAGTCTCATCTAGATCATACTACGTAATGTAACAAGCCATGCAGAAATAAATGAAATAAAATGTGGATAAATAAACAAAGACTTTTGATTCTTAAAGGCCAATTCAACTCCAAAAATAATTTACTTTCAATAAAAGCAGAAAAATCAGACAAACCAATCCAAAAAAATTAGAGCAAAATCTGATAAATAATAAGAAAGTTTTTAATGACATGAACAACTTTGAAAATCACAAGGCAAATTGGCAACTCACTCATGAGTCTGTGACGTCATCGCCTCACTATTCACTAATTTTGTTCTTTATATTGAATATATGAATTGTCCATTTTCCCCCTAAGAATCTTATTTCCTCACACCAGCGTCCAAGTTATATTAATAGCACATGTAGTATTTTCTTGTGTGTGTGGATGCACTACGAAAGAGTTATTTGTTTCAGTTAAATCATGAAATATGTGAATTATGAATATACAATATTCAGAAAAAAGTATAAATTCTTCAAAGTTCATAAATGATTTTGTGAAATGTCATGCACGCAATATTATACAAATCATATAATAGGCAAATGCATGGATAAATCGAGTTTAGAGGGATAAAACGGGAAATTAACTCTGGTTGCAAATTTAGAAAGCAATTGATAAATAGTGATGCAATGACGTCACAAACTGATAACCAAATTGGCAATTTGTGTAGTGATTACCATTGTTTCTTAGTTTATTGCATACTTTATCAAAAATTCATTTCTTCCTTATTAGTTATCCGATTTTACTCAAACTTTTTTAGATTGGTTTGTCTGATTTTCCTGCTTCTATTGAAGACAAGTTGTTTTTGGAGTGGAATTGGCCTTTCAGTGACTTCATGGACCTTATTATCACACATGTCAATATGGGTGGATAAAGCTATTATTCACAACTTTAGCATGTGTTTGATTTGGAGCTGTCACCAAAACAAGCGATTTCTAGTTTATGAATTTAACCCATTCTACTCATTTCATATACAAAGTAACAGGTATCACAGCAGCATTAGACCTAATCCAGCAAATTGTACGATAGAGAGATTATAGTTATAATCATATACACAACAAGCAACTTTGATTAACAATGATTACACAGGCGTTTTCAAGAGGGGGAATTCACTTACATTCAAATCAGTTCAATACATTTCAATTCAATTCAAATCAAATCTTCATTCAATCCATATCAGTTCAATTCAAGTCAGTTAAAATTTACTTGAATTCAATTCAATCAAAGAGATTCCGTCAAAGGGGGCAAAGCTTAACCCAATCTCGTAAATACATCTATGGATTGCACCAACTCCTTCCCACTCACCTACAACATCAACAGTGAATGTGCATCTCCCTATGTTACCCAGCTCATCTTGTGCTGTTATGGTGACGATTACCGGGTCGGCATCGTACTGCAAGTTGGCAATCATTGACCCGTGGGACCTGGTGATCTGCAGTACGAGAATAATAATAACAAAACGTTACATTTGCTTTCAAGTAATATTTCCCTGGTATGTTGCTGTTTCTGCAATAAGAAAACCAAAAAAAAACCAAACAACTTAAATTCCGTCCTTTATTTATTTATTTGGTATTATTTCAACAGAGTAGCCTTGTCATACTATGGGGGCCCTGCATAACATAAACAGGGCAGAAGAAACAATACATTGACATGGTGTAATGCTAATACGTTGACTTCTATGTGATATTTTGTTTGTGTTCTGCAATACCAAAAAATAAAAATGTAACACCTGACTTTTAAGTTATAAATCATTTGGACGTAATCCAATCTAATTTAGTCCAATCCAAGAATTTGTAGAACGTCAAAATCTATAGTGGCCCTAAGGCGCTGACGAAATTAGGAAAAAATGAATATGGCGCCCATGATTCACCTGGGAAAGACTGAGGTAGTGGCTAGTTATGTGGAAAATATTTTTTTAAGCTGACTTCTGGGAGAAAGCAGCAGAACGGAGGTATTTATATAATATTGCATGGCTTTGAGTGCGTGTGATACAAGAATATATTGCTCGAGCTATGACAATATTGACCGAGTCGGAGACAAGTACAATATTATCATAGCAAGGGCAACATATTCTTGTATCACATGAAAACAAAGCCATATAATATTATTATTATTATCTTTATCAGGCTGACTAGAGAAATAACAAAATATTGATATCGATGTTGGTAGTTGAAGTTCCCAGATGAATGTGCAATACGAAAACAATATTGGTCAGTCATCCGTGTACTGCGCTAAATATATTGAATACACTGATTTATTGTACCACTTGGAAACATTATATAGATAATAATGAGGAAGACTGTTCCACAACCAAAGCACAAGAGAAGCGAATGGTCTATTGCCTATCAAAGAATGGGTTTGAAGACTCTCAAGCAGATACTTACCTGCTGTTCACACGTGAGCTCAAGATGATAGGGGGGCGGTCAGCATGTCTGACAGGTACAAAGGGTACGTCCGTGTACATGCTTTCCATGATTTGTAATTCTTTTCTTTGTTTTACAGGAAGGCAGTTTAGGGGTTATTGTGGTCGAATGACTTTCTACCTCTTTAAAGATACGTGCTGCATTCTCAGCAGTCTGTAATTTCTTCCGAGGATGCTGCATTATTCCAGAAAGCAAAGCATTTCCACCGTCTGTCTAACCGTGTTGTTTTTAGAGCATGGACAATTACAGAAGCCGCCTCATCTGAAACCTCCTTCCTGATACTCCAGAGTTTTCTATCTGGGCATATATACTCTGAAATATTCTCTTTACCTGTACCCATTCTCATTGTATCACTGGTAAGAACTGTGAGGAAGTGGAGATATCTGTATCTGCTACATGTGTGTGATCAACATAAACTTTAGGCTGATTATTTATAGATGTAAATTTTCTTTTAGATGTAAGATGTAAAAATGTCTGTGAGTCATTTTCCAAAGAATTAATGTCCTTCTGGCTCCAAACTGACAATATTATTCGGGTCATATCCTAAAATTTGTCAAAACTTTTTATTTTTTATTAGGGTTCTCTCAAAAAGTTTGGAAAAGGGTAAACAATACAGAACATCTTGAAATAGCATTTCCTAAATATGGCATTATGTATCTCATTCATCCATGTGTCCGGACAGGTTATAAATATGTGCAGGCTTTCCGGACGGTTGATTTCTAAAATTACTTTGAAGAAATTTCAGAACTTTTTGACAATTCTACAAAGGTTCATGGTTAGTGTTAAAGGTAATACAAAGTTTTGGTATGGGGTCATGAATTTGGTTCAAATGAATATATTGGAATCATATGCGATCCTACAATATTCATTGATCGTTTTCGCGGTTGAAATCGAGTCTCAAGTTATGAAATTGTAAATAATAAACTCTATTTGTTGTATAGCTCCCTCTCAAGTTCAAGATATTAATTAAGCTTTGAAACAATGTTTCTTGACTAAAATGAACCGATTAGCTATTATCGTTTGGAAATTATATATCACAACTACATATTCCGAAATTTTCACGGTCGCAGCTACAATTGTACGGCCGTAGGCGCTATTTGAAATTTATCAAAATTTACCGGGAGCACCGGTAAATTTTTATATTCAATTTTTCTCGAAAGCAGTAGTGTTTTAGGGGCTAAATTTTCTAGTGCTTATAATACATCCACAGGAGCATCCACATATATCAAAATTGTAAAGAATCACTATCTACCCAACTTCCAAAATTTCCCAAAACTTTCCCAAAAATTTTCTTACCACTAGCGCTGAGTCACTAGTATAGTCATCAGTAATAACTACATCTGGCCATGTAACTGTGGCAAAGCTTTCACCAGGTGCTGTTTCTTGACTGACATCGGGGCAAGTCAGCACTGGTGGAACATCATCTGAACAGAGAGGGAAGTGGTATCAATTTAAATTGAGACTACATTCATGGTTTCAATTCCTTAAAGGGATCGTTTAACAATGTTAAATCTGAGATACACGGCCCTACGTGTTATCAGTGTCTGTGATATCGTGTAATATTAAAGCCTTAAAAAATGTGCCTCAAAAAAGTAAAAATCTTTGAGTGACCGGTTTTACCATACTCGTTTTCCCCAATAGACTGTAGTTTTATGAAAATCGTTTGGCAAACGGTTTTCAAAATTTGTAATTCCAATCATAAATATCTTGATATTCAGACAGGCATTGTAAAATGCATAGGGTTCCTGACTGACCTAAAGGTTTATAATTATCATTGCAGCATGAGCTAAATCCGGAATTTTGTTTCAGAATCTGAGACATACTTACCGGATCCCTTTAAAGGGAAATCGTACATATTCAATTCCCTTCAAATTTATTTCACCAAAGCAACTACAATATACATAAAATACATTTATAGAACTATACATTGTTACATAAAGAAATAGAACACATGTATAATATGATTGGTATAACAATATAAAAGTTGATTGGCAGGTAGTAGCCAGAAAGGAAGTGACCCTTATAAGAGGCCGACATATATTTAACAAGTTGAACTGGATGAAGGAGGAATAACCTTCTGCCACAAACAAATAAATACAAAAATATGATTTCATACTAAAGTGGACTTGCGTACTAAACCAATCGAAACAAATCAAGTGTTCATATTAACATTTTGAAGGCCGGCTAGTAAAAATTATACACATGCTGCATTTCTTAAAATGGCACAAAGAAGGGAGATCTTGATCCATATTTGTGAAAACGTACCTGAAGTGAGTTATGGGTTATTAATGAAAGTTGCATGGAGAGTTGCATGCTTTCGATATGACTGTAACCAGAAGCCTAAAGTAATTATCATACGTACATCGGACATTTACGAGGAAGGTACAATTAAAAGAGTTTCCGTAAGCATCGGCAGCCATGACAGTCACTGTGTCATTTTGCCCAGACACTGATGCCTGGAATGTTGCCCCAGACTCCGGGTACGAGATGACAGTGACACCCCCGGAGCTGTTAGTTGCATTTGGTGTCGGCCAGGTGACCACTTGGCCAGTTATATCCTGGGTCACACTAATGTCGATATTGGATGGGCATTGAAGCTCCGGATCTTCAGTATCCTCTAAAAAAATAAAAAAAAAATTGTCACCTTATAATCATATTTCCACACTCCCTTGTCCCAAATTATTGGACTCAGCATGACTCCATATTTGCCATATAATGTTCACTAGTATCTAATATCTTGTACTGATTACATAGGAATGTGATTGATAACTCTTCAACTTTTCATCTAAGTATCTACAAAATGCAGAACTAGTATAGTACGATTGTAATAAAAGCATGTGTGCTATGATAAGTGCCTCTTGATCTCAAATCATACAATTTATGAATAAAAGGTACCAGAAATTATGAGATCCTAAAATAACAAATGCAAATACGGAGGAAAATTGTATTGCTATTAGAGGCGAAACGTGCGTATCTCATTTACGGTATCAAAAACAACCATATTTTTGAAGAAGAAATGGAGTTTAAATCAGTGGCGGATCCAGGATTTTCCACTTGAGGGGGGGAGTAGAGAGCTTTCTTGTTTGCCCCCAGAAATGTGAAAATCGTGCCGACCGATATTTCGCTCATTGGGAGGGGGGTAGAGAGAGTGGCCGGGGTGGGGGTAGTGAGCACTTTATACAATTTAAAAAAAATCAACCCCCTCCTGGTTTAAATCACTAAATCACACATCACTTACGTTAAAAGGGTACATACTTCATAACAACATCATACACACAAGATGATGATATAAAAAGGAGCACTATTTGAGTGTTCAAAAAGCACGCCGATTCCACTGTTAAGTTGTTAAACGGGAAAAATGCCACGATCGTGTACAGATAACTTTAAGGGTAGTTTAGAGTATAGAAATTATCTATACATCAATGATAAATTACATATTGTTTAGGGTGGGAAAACGTGCAAGAAATATTTGCTCAGGGTGTGATCTGGGCTTCGATAAAATACTTGTTTACAGTGTATATAGGGTACATTTTGAAAGTCTATGATGTGCATAATGTAAACACTGTAGCACAAACGCGATATACACTTGAAAGTTTGTCAAAGTGGAGCACCGAATCTCATATGACCATTATCAGCTACCGGGAAAGATAGCAATAGCAATTGCTCGTTTTCGTGAATACGGCCTATTGACATTTCATCAATAGGACTTTCTACAAACTTTGAATAACTTATTTAATGACTGATGTTTTAAGAGGAATAAAACTTATGCTGATCTTGATCTTATCATATTGGTCTATAATATACTTGTGTATTTGTAGCACACAGTCACACACTAGCAATAGCATACACCACCGTGTTACAAACTGATATATTTTACAACATGTACCATCACCCCATCCTGACTCCCATGAACACACCACTGAGTCTACCAGGGAAAGTTACAATGCTACAATAAAAAATGCTACAAAAAAAAATGCATTTCCTGTTCACTTTTGCATACAAGTTTAGTTTGATAAACCATGAAATTCACTCAGCAAATCATTAATGTATCATATCACCCTCAATTTTGTAAGCTCCAAAGGATTTACCTCTCACAAATTGGAAGGCTAATTCCTGCTCAACCTAATTTTCATACCCTTTACAAAAGTGAGCAGTGCTCATCCAAGCATGAATTATTTTCGGACTTTTTGGTGTCATATGAAAGTTGAGTTAATGAGCTTTCAATAGATATAAAGGTTGTCCCCCAGAATCATATATTTGTTATTCGGCAGCCATTTCAAACGCACGGTAGAGTCATGTTTGAAAACCGTGAAATGTAGGTAGTATCATGCAAAACTACGTTAAAAAATAGATTACGACATGAAGTTACATGTAAGTTTAAAAAAGCACTGTTTGGAGCAAGGTGTACAAGAAAACAGGTCTAAAGGAAAATGAATAACGTGATTCACAAAATCATTTTCACATTCATATTTGTAAACTTGATGGTAGATCTAGAATACAGTTGGAACTTGATAGCCATTGGCTGAAACAAAACGTTATTACCACAAGAGCACCCTCAATCTTTTTTTCTTTTGCATTAAATGGGTCATGAATTGCACTGATTTCAAACATATATCGATTTGTTATTGACAAATTAGTGGTGCAAAAGTGAGCAATTTTTTTGCATCATATGACAGGCTTTTTGTGTTTCTGCATGTGTCCTCTATAATGTCCTTATTTCAAAATGACCTGGGGCCTGTCTCACTAAACAGTACTTAGTGTAACAGGACTTAGTGTCGCTGCGACGCGTCATACACTAAGACGGGTCTTACTGACGTCCTGTTGGTTTCTCAGTTTCACTAAACCGTTCTTTACTAAGTCCTGTGTGCGGCGCATCTTCAACAATAAACGTCTGGATTTTGATTCTACGAAGCCGAATTTCGTGACCTTCGACCTTGTGTGAAGATAAAAGTATTTTTTTCCTGTAAGTTTTCGTCTTCATCGTCTGGGGCGAAAAAGTGAAAGGGGGCTGAATTTTGTCACTTTAAGTGATTGTTTAACATTATTTCGACTAGGTCTACTGTTGGATACAAATGGGGGCAAACCCGGACTTTAGTGCCCAGCTGAAAATCTCAGTTTATTATGGATTTAATATCAATAATATTAATTATGCTAATATATGCAAATATAAACATACCAAAACTTGATGATTTTTAATCATTTGACGTCATAAAAAGCAATTTTAAGCCAAAAATAGCAGCGAAGTAGGGGATCTCCTCTTTGCTTGATGCGAGATACTAGCGAACTGAAATAACCGAATAAAAACTATGGTGAACTAAAAAAAGAAAAGAAAAAATCAAACCACCTCTGAAATTACCTTTGAAATGTTTATTAATTTTTTCTTCCGATATGCGCACATGATAGGGGCAGGTTGGGATGGGATGGGGGGGGGGGTGCTCAATAGTCGCCAAATTTGGGGTAAAAGGGCAACTGGCCTTGGGGGGGGGGGCTAAATTTATTATTTACTTATTTTTCTTTGTAATCATTTTTCTAATTTTTTTCCGGGGTGGCTCTTTTCTTTATTCTGCTTCTTCTTTCTTTCTCACCAGATATGCACGAAACATTGGGGGTTTGAAGAGATGACACCCCCCCCCCTTCCTGATGGGGGCGCCAAATTTAAGGGTTATTTTAATCTTTCTTTCTTTTTCTCTGCCCCCCCCCCCCCGTCCCTTTCTCCCTTTCTCTTTAATAGGCATGCACGCATCGAGGGGGCGAGTGGGATGGGATGGGGGTGCTGAAAACTCGCCAAATTTGGGGTATAAGATGGCTGCCCCCGCTATTAGACACCGCATCGAAATTGTCCCGGCAAACCGCCTGATGAACGCCGCTCAGGTTCTACAGCAGAACCTGACACTTCTGGAGTTAGTGCCACAATTAGTGAACATTGAAGGTTGTCTTCAATTCTTGGCAGAGAGAGCGTTGATTGGCAACAGCTGGACATGCGATGTCTGCCAGGAGAGAGGCCGGCTGCAGGCAACAGAAGCAATAGATGGCTTCGTTTGGAGATGTCCGCCACCCTGCAGACGAAGGAAGAGTATCCGGCAAGGCAGTTTCTTCTCTAAGAGCCACCTGGACTTAAAGAAGATCATAATGTTTATCTACCTTTGGGCCGCAGATCTTCCCCTGAAGTTTATTCAGGCAGAGGTCGGCTGCGATGACAAGACGGCCACCAACTGGGCGAACTTCCTTAGAGACGTCTGCAGCGAAGCCATCATCGTCAACATGAGGCCACTGGGTGGATTCGATGACGACGGCAACCCTATCATCGTTGAATCCAAGTTTTTCCACCGGAAGTACCATCGTGGAGCCATCCGTGATGGCCACTGGGTATTTGGAGCGGTGGAGAGAGAAAGTGGCCGCTTTCTCATGAGAATTGTCGAGCAGCGGAATCGAGCAACCTTGGAACCAATCATCCAACAGTGGTGTCTGCCCGGCACCCACATCATCAGCGATGGATGGGCGGCGTACAGAGATCTCGAGAATCTCAACAACGGTGTCTACCTCCACGACGTCGTCGTCCACGAGGACAACTTTGTGGATCCTGATCTCCCCTGGCTGCATACAAACACCGTAGAGGGGAAGTGGATGCACGCTAAGAGGAAGCTGAGGCGACAGTGTGGCACCACACGGGATCTCTTTCCCACATATCTGGACGAGTTCCTGTGGCGGAACGATGTTGGCCCTAACAAGGTCGGAGAGATTATGAATGCCATCCGCCAGATTTATCCAGTGTAGCACTTTGAGGTGCTTCTAAACCCAAAGGCCCTTTTCAGCGCCAACCCAAACCCAACGGCCCTTTTAAGCGCCAAACATGACACTGAGTGAGAAACGTCCCCGTCGTAGTGTCGGTAATGCGTTGTTTCAACGTAGCCAATTCTCACATTATGAAAAAGAAAAAAGTTATACCCTTTCAATCATACTTCACTTTGTTGCCCCCCCCCCCCCCAAAAAAAAAAAAAACCCACATAAATATGCTAATAACAGAAAATATACACCACCCTGCATTCTGCAACAATCAGTTTTGCCAATATATAATATCCATTCTTTTTTCCAGGGAAGTTTATCTTTGAGCAATTTAATTGAATAAAAACAACTGTGTTGAATTAAATCTTTATTGAATTGAAATTTGAACCAGTCCCGAAAATATATATATATAAAAAAAAACGTGAATTATTTTAGGGACTCTTCTTTTAGTATGGTAATAATTGATTCTTCCAATTCTGCGAAGAACCACTTTTATTCATTTTATTTATCCTCTTATGGAGAGAAATCCTTTCATCCATCTTTAGGGGGAGGCACTATGAAGGGGCTTAATACAAATTTGGTGAGCGCTGATGTGCTACATCTCTCTCTCTCTCTCTTCCAAATATCTTTTTTTCCCTCCCCTCCCTGTCCCTCTATCGAGCCCGTATTTTTTCAGAGCACTTTAAGTGGAGGTTGTCCTGAGATTGTCGTGGTAATATTTAAGTACGTACTCGTCCTGTTAAAACGCTCCAACTGGGGGTAACGTCGGAACCTGCACCATGAAGAATCACTTCATTCTGAGTTAAATGATCTACCAACAGAGCTATGAATCCACCCACCATAGACTGATAGACATTAGGACAACAGAACTTTTGTTACAGCCTCGATCAGATACTTTGCCTATATTGCAATAATTGGCCAATGACGGGGAGTTGATGTTGTCTTTTTGCCAAAACGTTCCAACTTGTCCTTAAAACTACTGTTCCAATTTGAATATGATGACTATATTTCCATTTTATACGAAAGTGTCCTCTTGAGACTAATAATAATAGTAATATTAATAATAATAATAATAATAATAATAATGATAATAATAATAATAATAATAATAACAACAACAACAATAATAATATAGCATTTAAACACGCCATCTCTCTATGCACCTATCCGGAGGCGCGAAACTAATTCATTACCCGCCATAGCATAGCTGCCAAGTGGGCGCTTTAGTATTCAAGGAATAAATTCCTGCTGGTATCCGTTTACTTCACCTGGGTTGAGTGCAGCAAAGTGTGGACAGATTTCTTGCTGTAGGAAATTAACGCTACGGATGTGGTTTGAACCGCCGACCCTCGAGTCGAGAGACGAGAGTCCGAACCTCTTCACCACAACGCTTCCGTTAATAAAGGGGGGGGGAGGGGTTTTTGCTCCGAGGGAGGGGGCAGGGGGGGGGGGCTGGGGGGAAGGATTCATCTCCTTAGGCCCCAAATGTTGCAGGCATGTCTCAAGAGAGAGAGAGAGAGAGAGAGAGAGAGATGAAGCAGAATTAAACGGCAAAGAAACGATACCCCCGCCCCAACAAATAAAATAAATAAATAAATGTGAGAATAAACAAATTAAAAAAATGGATAATTACCAATTGTGCGCCCTTTTACCCAAAATTTGGCAACTATCAAGCTCCCAGAAACCACCCATCCGACTCCCACCCGCCCCTCGATGCGTGCATGTCTATTCAAGAGAAAGCGAGAAAAGGGGGGCGGCAGAGAAAAGAAAGAAAGAAAGATTAATAAAAAAAATAACCCTTGAATTTGGCGCCCCCATCAGGAAAGGGGGTTGTCATTTCGTCAAGCCCCCAATATTTCGTGCAAATCTGGTGAGAAAGAAAGAAGAAGCAGAATGAAGAAAAGAGCCCCCGGAAAAAAAAATAGAAAAATGATTACAAAGAAATAAAAGTAAATAATAAATTTAGCCCCCCCCCCCCCCCCAGGCCAGTTGCCCTTTTACCCCAAATTTGGCGAGTTTTCAGCACCCCCATCCCATCCCACTCGCCCCCTCGATGCGTGCATGCCTATTAAAGAGAAAGGGAGAAAGGGACGGGGGGGGGGCAGAGAAAAAGAAAGAAAGATTAAAATAACCCTTAAATTTGGCGCCCCCATCAGGAAGGGGGGGTGTCATCTCTTCAAACCCCCAATGTTTCGTGCATATCTGGTGAGAAAGAAAGAAGAAGCAGAATAAAGAAAAGAGCCACCCCGGAAAAAAATTAGAAAAATTATTACAAAGAAAAATAAGTAAATAATAAATTTAGCCCCCCCCCCCAAGGCCAGTTGCCCTTTTACCCCAAATTTGGCGACTATTGAGCACCCCCCCCCCCCCATCCCATCCCAACCTGCCCCTATCATGTGCGCATATCGGAAGAAAAAATTAATAAACATTTCAAAGGTAATTTCAGAGGTGGTTTGATTTTTTCTTTTCTTTTTTTAGTTCACCATAGTTTTTATTCGGTTATTTCAGTTCGCTAGTATCTCGCATCAAGCAAAGAGGAGATCCCCTACTTCGCTGCTATTTTTGGCTTAAAATTGCTTTTTATGACGTCAAATGATTAAAAATCATCAAGTTTTGGTATGTTTATATTTGCATATATTAGCATAATTAATATTATTGATATTAAATCCATAATAAACTGAGATTTTCAGCTGGGCACTAAAGTCCGGGTTTGCCCAAATGGGGAAGGTAGACCTAGGTATGTTATTAAACTTTTTCTTAAGACAACATAGACTAGAAGTAAAATATTGAAAGCAAAATGTATGCAGTGGAAGATTGTGATGGAAGTTGTATTTGATACCTCGACGAATCGCAGCCGATTAATTGGCAGCAGTGAACCGTGCGTGTGGTGGCGGTAGCGAGCCCGCTGTCAGTCTAGTCTGGGATCGCGGATTACATCAAGCTATTTATCATGCACGACCAAACTTAATTCTATAGACTCTAGGCCTAGACCTAACTAGTTCTAGGCCTACTACTAGTAGATCTAGTACTAGTACTAGAGTCCTAGACTAGTATACTAGATCTAGACCTAGTCTAGACTAGTCTAGATAGAGATCTAAATGATCTAACTGTTAGATCTATTCTTATTAAAATCTTATCTTACTCTGAGTCTGAGTCTTCGACTAGTAGTATTAGACCTAGATAGACCTAGATCTAATCTTCTTAGACTTAGATCTAACTGTTAGATCTAGACTTGTGATGTGTGACTGCTAGACCTTTTCTGTAATTATTTCAGACACTACTCACTAAGACACTAGATCTAGATCTAGATAGACCTCTAGATCTAGTCTAGACCCTAGGCCTAACTAAGCATTGCTATGGAACTAGACTAGGGGGGGGGGGGTGAATGAATAGATCATCCCCCCGGAACAATAGCGTAAGGATTTACGCCCATGCTACTCATAGTTGCCACAGGCCCACAGCTACATTCAAGCTTTCACGTAGATTCTCTAGATCTAGCCTAGGCCTAGACCAAAAGCTTCAGTCTCTAGACTCTATATCGTCGGTTGTTCCACTAGACCTCCGGATATAGAGGTCTAGATCTAGTGGAGCCAGACGTAGTCTCAGTGGAACAACCGACGATATAGATCTAGAGACTGAAGCTTTTGGTCTAGCCTAGACTCTAGGCCTAAGTTAGTCTACAATTTCTTTTTCTTTTTTCTTCAAGATTAGGCCTAGATCTAGAGTCTAGATCTAGTCTAGATCTAGATCTAGAAGGTCTAGACCTATTCCATTTAGAAAATTTACCTTTTGGGACATAGATTCTATAAAAAATAAAAAAAACATGTTTCATGTCTGAGTTTTGGAAAAATAGCAGTGATCAACTGACCAAAGTTTTATTCAGCTTATTTAATAAAAGTAGTATTAAAACCAAAGCGCTCTAACTAAGGTAAACATAGTAGGTAGTCAAAAGACAAACGGGCAATAACATGATTTTATAATTGATGGGCAATTCATGAAACATAAATAGTTAGAATAGATGATAGATCTAGGCTAGACCTCATGACCTAATAACTAGTTTGCATTTTCCTCAAATTTTAGGAAACGCCGAGGTAAAGAAGCAAGGAATTCCAAAGGATAGAAATTAAAGAGCTTCTGCAGTTTGTGGTTACTAGAAACATGAACCGTTTGGAACTGGAGGAAAGGGGAGCAGCAAAGAAGAAAAGGTGAAAGAAAGGTATGCATGGATGTGACAGAGAAATTCACCAAAAGGAGGAAGATTAAAGGGAGGGGGGTGTGTTCATCTGGCGAGGTTAAGGCCAATAAGGGTTAGGGCTAAGGAAAAAAAAGAAAAAAAAACAGTCTTGAAATCGCTGGGTATGGTAGTCTGTTGAAAAATTGAAAACCTGACACTTAACTTTGCCACCACTACTGCAAAATCCAAGGCTACAATATTCACATATTTAAAACAAAGTACAGTTATCCAGTTGAAGCTTTAATCGTAATTAATACGGCAACCCATGTAGACCCTTAGTGCAACCAATCCTAAATATATAATCTGTCTACTTCCACATTATTTTCATGCATAGAACCTGGAAAAGAGCAACACATTCAGAGCAGCTGGTGGCCAAGAGAGAGAATGGCATACATTAAGAAAGAAATGGCGAGACATGGCTTTGAAAGCCAAAGCGTATAAAGCCCAAAGAACAGGTGAGTTTTGAAAGATTCATAACTTATTTGTTTTCTCAAACTTTCATCAAATTCTTTATCTAATTTTTCTGATTATATTAAAACCAATTTAATATTACGGGGACTTCCCCTTTAAGTTTATTCAGTATTGGACGTGTCATCAATGACATATTTAGGGTACTTGCATCACTACAATATTTGTTTAGGAAAAGTGATATATTTTTCAACTCTTGCTGTAATGTGCCCAAAGGTAATGAAAAAGTGTTAAAAATTTCTGTTTTACGCCGGGTCATGATCGCTTGGACTGATTTGTTTGCTGGTACTATACTTGTATTTTTTTTAAATTGCGTTTAAAAAAAGAAATGTGACGTATTGAGCAGGATGCCTACACAACAAAATTTTAAGTGACTTGAAAACCTGTGGTGTGTAGAAAAGTTTTGATCATGCATTCTTACAGTTTAATAATCTGAGTATTCCCGTTACCCTATCCCCCAGGAGACTTCCAGAAGTAACATGTGTATCAGTAGCAAGTGGTATGGGACATGAACTATAAGTGATGATAGCTTTGAAGTGGGATGGGTCTGGATGGCATGTTCAATAATAAGGTCTTTGACTAATATCCATCAATCTTTTTTGTCCGAATTATTTTGCTTGTGAAAGCCATTAGTTGTCTTCATGTTGTTATGTACAGGCAGTTAACATTTTGGTCCCATACTTGGTCTTACCAGTAGATACAACATTGTGGGAATGTTTAACTTTGTAAGGTTTTCAGGAAGGCTAAAAATGTAAAAATGTGACTCATTACAATCACAGTTGCTAACTCATATTCATTGATATAGCAATTGCAAAATCTGAGATACATATTTTTCTTGTTTTATGAATTAACTTTTATTGTTGTTTATTTGTGAACAGGATTCAGAGGCTACGGACCTGAGCTTGTCTAATGAAAATTTTCAGTGATTGTCAGCCTCGGCCTCCTCAGCCTCAGCTTTGGTCTACTTAGTCTGATCAGTGGCGTGAAATTTTAACACAAAGGCCTGCACAGATCAGGCAATTAGAAATTCAGGAGGAGCTGCTGAGAATACAACAGGCCAAATTAATAGAACAGAAGCAAGTACATATAAGCGAATCAATTTTAGAAGAGTTAAGGAGTATCCACAATACCCTAGCAAATAAACCCACAGCCATAGATCTCCTTAATTCAACTCAACAAGAGCGCTATTTATCATGTTTTTCCATAATTTTATTCAAAGTTTTGAGGTGAATTTTGCTACCTCCCAAATTAAGTATATTCAGCAGCTCCTCCTTAAATAAAGCCCCTCTAAAGTGTTGGGAGACCAAAATTCACAAAAAATGTCATGGCAAAGTTTCACTTAAATTGTCTAATGATGTGAAAGAGGATGTCATTTAACAGACGCTTCTGTAATGATTTTCATAATAAACATGATAAATATGATTGAAGAGACAAATTTAGGTTTTCTTTTGTATGCAGTAAACCACAATTTTGTATTCTGTCATCAATATCTGTCTTCGAACACATTTCTTCTGAAAACTCTTGCAGAAATGTGTGTTAAAACTTAAATGATATCTTCTTTCACTCATGCAATTTAGGGGAAATTTTGCCATAATTAGTTTTGTGGGGCTCCCAACACTTCAGAGAACCTTTACTGTCTTAGTATATGATATATACAGGTCTCTGTGTCATATATATCAAGTCATGTGTTTTAAGACTAACAAATAACAACATCCAAAGGTACACCAAAATTCAGTTCAATTTCGTTCGGTCACGTGCTGATCAAAACACGGACATTAATTATAAATTAATAACTGTATGATTTGTGAATAGGAAACTTAACTGCGGACCCATTTGAAAGAAACTGTCTTTCATTTGTTCTTTCAAGTGAAGAATAAGGGGTGGGTCTATTACAAACAATACAGTATTTCCGTAAATCAACTGAGTCGCACCATTTAACATAATTTGTCAGTGTGCACCCTTCTGTAAATTGTTAAAGATATTTTGTGATGACACCGAAAGACTAGTTAATAACAGAAAAGCTTTGACCTTCAATGGGTAGACAGGTGAGAGCATTTTAATCTATCCACATGTTAAGCTAACATTTGTGATGCATCATACAATTCCTATATTATGTAATTTAGTTTGTTTGATTATACCCAGTTTTTACTCTTATCGATCAAGAAGAATATTATCTGCTACAGTTATGGTAGAAATGGACTGTTTTTTTTTAATCAGAATAATAAATACTACTGCTGCTTTACAGAAAATCCATAGCAAAAGTTGTATTTTCTTTGCTATTTTTTAGTGTAATAAAGTTAAATTACTGGCCTTTAACAAATTTAATTTTTCTGTCACATTATGTACAACTTGTGTATACCCGTATGAATATATCCTGTTGTAGAAAAAAGTTGTTAAATAAATGGTGACAATTGATTCGATGAGATAATTCAGATATCAGTCAATTTTACAACATAGTCATTCTGAAAAAGTAAAATACATGACAAGTGAAGAAATGCTTTGATTACATTGCATTGATTTGGAGAAAAGGAGGGGGGAAAAGAGAGAAAAGGGAAGAGAGAAAAAAGAGGGAGAAGAAAAGGGAGGGGAAAAGGAAGAGAGGAGAGAAAAGGGGGAAAAGGAGAATAATGAGAAGGGAAAAGAAAGAAAGGGGGATGATATTAAAGGAAGTTTTTTTTTACCGGGAAAGGGGAGGGGGGGGGCACGCAATTTTGCAATGTGCATAATATGGGATCCCTCTTGCCAGGCGTGTAGCCCCCCCCCCCCCCCAACCAAAAAAAAAGCACAAGAAGAACCAACAAAAAAAGAGAATGGGGAAAAAAGGGGGAATAGAGAATTTCTGTGAGTTAAAGAAGAAAGGAAAAAAATGAAAGAGAATTACACAACGGTAAAAGAGAGGTGCGAGAGCATGAGACAGTGCATTTAAAAAAAAAAAAAAATGGGATAACAACCAGGGACGTCGCTAAAGTGGGGGTGCGAGACCCCCCCCCCCCCCCCCCCCCTGTCAGGATATTATCGGTAAAATTGCGCTACTGTCGGGGAAAATGAGAAAAGGGGGAGAGAAAAATGAGAGGGAAAGGGACAGAAAAGAGAGTAAGAGAAGAGAAGAAAGAAAGAAAGAAAGAGAAAAAAGAAAAAGAGGAAAGAAAGGAAAAGAAAGAAAAGAAAAAAGGAGAAAAGGAAAGAGAAGAAAAAAGAAGAGAAAAGGGAAACAAAAGAAACGGGGGTGAAAGAAAGGAGAGAGAGACAGGGATAAGAGCCGGGTGCAGTAGGAGAGAGAGGGAATTGTTGGGTGAAGTCACCACGTCGAGGGGGTAAGTATAGTAAGACACGCAAATTATGTTGCTGTGTCGGTATTCTTGCTCGATCCTCGTGTGCTATATCAATGCAGAAGTTTGAAGCCGGTGAGATGTATGATGTCGGTCGGCTAGCAAAAAATTTCCCCTACGGACTGTGACTTTTTATCGGAGAAAGAAACATTTTAGAAAATTCAGACAATGATTAAGCAGGGCTTGTAATAAACTAACAAGCCCTGGATTAAGCATCCGACGAATCGTCTTCTTTCTCAAATACTTTAATGAAACGTCAAAGCCATCAATATTTGAAGATCGGCCATCATCGAGATCGAATTAGAAAAACTTTCAAATTTGACGCGAAATTTATCACATGACATTACACTAAGAACTGTTACTAAGTCTCGTCTCGACGAGACGTAGGCTACGACCTGTATGCAACTTAGTTAAAGGGGTACTAAGTACGGTACGCGTCTTAGTGGGCTTTGTGAAACTCCCGCTAAGATGCATCTTACACTAAGTCCTATAACAGGACTTAAGGCCGCTTAAGACGCATCTTAGTGCTTAGTGAGACAGGCCCCAGGAGGGTGTTTCATAAAGCTGTTCGTAAAGTTACGCACGACTTTAAGAACGACTTGTATATGAAAAGCCAAATGGGATGCTCCATCATTATTAAATACATCAAATAAAATTGAACTGTGCAGTTGTAGATTAACATTATTAAGAGAACAACCAGTTTTATTGCACAGTATATTTTTTGCCATAATTTAATTGAGGTTATTGAAAATATCAGAAAAAACTTTGGGCATCCTATCTGGCATTCCATATACAAGTCGTTCGTAAAGTCATGCGTAATTTTACAGCTTTATGAAACACCCCCCCCCCCCCCCCCCCTGGATGATGTTTTACAACTGTGTGTGCAGCTGTCTGGACACTCGATCCACCACAATGTTCTGGCAGTGGCTCAATACATTTAGTTACGAGGTGCCACCCGACAGTCAAAATAATTTTTACACGAGATTCTAGTCAAAGTCTTTACCTACCAAATAATGATATTTAGGCAGCAGTTCAAGCTGATTTCTTTGTATAATAATGATGTGTGGTCTAAATCTAATATTAGAACTAGACCAATCTAGATTGGGTATTTAATTACCGCCAGTTGAGCATATTTTAATACCATATTTGTGACACTGGAAGGTCACTACATGACGTGGGGTCCGCCTTAGGTTCCCTGGTGGGGGTCCAGGCGGAGCCCCCAGAAGCTAAGGGGTTCCAGGCATTCTTTTACGGTCAGATGAGCATCCATGGGCCAGCCTTAGGAAGCTCAGGATTTTTAGGCATTTAATCACGGTCAGATGAGCCTTTTTAATACCTTATTTGTGCAGGTCAATATTCTTTCTTTTCTTATTTCATTTTTTTTTCTTTCTTTCTATTTCTCTTTGACATACTCAGCCGTACATACACTACGTGCATGTTCTGTAATATTTACATGACTTATTCACATAATTGCGACTTAATTAATATTTTCCTATTGACATTACTGTTTACTAGGTTAATGATTATGTTTATTTTGCAAACGAGTATTATTTTTGTAACTGTTCTGTATAAATGTTATAAACGATGTAAATATGTTCATTCAGGGCCCCATGGAAGACCACTACTTGTTGGTGAATGGGCTACCTGTCAAAAGATTAGAAATAAATAAATAAATTAAAAACTTTTCAAAAAAGTTGGGAGGGGAGGGGAGGGGGGAGCTCGAGCCTATAAAGCTAGATCTAGCGGTCATTTATACACTAAAATCTACATGACAGCGATGCTCAACCTACGTCAGCGACCACCTTTTCACTCTTTTCTTCTCAGTATTTATATTATTTTACGTAGCATTTTCCCTCAGGTATAATTATATAGAGGTGTCGTGGTCGAGTAGTTAAAGCGCTTGACTTCAGATGTAAAGGTCGTGGGTTCGATTCCCGACACGGCACGTTTGTCCTTTGTCAAGGCATTATACTATTTTTGCCACTCCATACCCAGGAGAGAAATGGTGACCTGGTAGGATAAAGAAAGTTCTTGTGTTTCAATTGCCATATGCCCTACGGTGACCATTAATTAGGAATACTCCCCATGGAGTGGAGATGGTGCACATTGTGCGTGAATGAATTCGATGACCGGGGTAACTAATAGAATATGTAAAATATAAAGACAGTATTTCACATTAAGTGTGACATACAGTCAGATTATCATTATTAACCCAGCTAGCTAGCTGACGCCGGGCCGATGTCGGCAGTCATTGGCAATATCGCGGTCGGTAAACTGACGTCACGCTGACATCAGACCAATGTCATAAGTGGTTAGCATCACGTTTGTCCATAAATGGTCAGAGAATAGACGTTGGACCGACGTCATTAATATATGACCAATTTATGACGTCAAAAAGCTGATGTTGGGCCGACATCACGCCAATGTCAGAAAAACGGTTAGATTCAAGTAGGTTGATAAATGTTCATAAAATTGACGTTAGACCGACGTCATACAATCCGACCAACTTATGAAACCTCAATGCTGACGTTGGGCCGATATCGCGCAAATGCCGGAAAGTGGTTAAAATAAAATATCAGAGTAAATGGTCAA